CAAGACAAGACAAGACAAGACAAGACAAGACAAGACGAGAGAGTGGCCTCTCTCGTCTCGTAGGGCGAGAGAAAACTGTTCTCTCGTCTCGACGAGAAGGCGTTCCTCTCGCTCGGGAGAGCCTTTGTCTCGTCTTGTCTCGTCTCGTCTCTCTCGTGATAAAACAATATTAAATTTAAATTTGAAAAAGATGAAACATGAAAAAACGTTTAAGTTTCTAAACCAAAAACAAAGAAATTTTAAAGTAATTTGCGCATTAGTACCCAAATTTGGCAATAACAAACACTTATGTCTCTCTGACTGTCCGGCACAGTCGTTTTACAATTTAAATTTAAAGTAATAAGTGGCCCAGATTAGGCGTTAACTAAAAACGAAAATACTTTGTCTTGTAAGTCAGTTGGGGAGGGGGGAAGAGGTTAAATTGGAAGTCAGAATTTTTATAATGAAATCCTGCGATGTGAAATGAAAGTATTTTGTAGTATGTTTTCAAAATGCAAGAAGATAGAGACATAAAACAAAAACGATGTGAAATTAGAGAAATATTATGATATTTTTGTTATAAGATGCACTTTACTTGAGACGTAAAATAGAGGGCGTTAGTATCTTTAAATTTTCTAATGGAAAGTTATGTAATACCTCATTTAGAAGATATTTTGATTATATTTATGTCCAAGCAAACAGTTTTTAATTTTTTTTTGTTTTTACAAAAATTACATTCTTGATAATCCTCGTGTACCGCAATAATCCTAGAAATGTTAGATAATGTTAGAAGAGAATTGTTTTAATAAGCTTTTTTTTGCTAAGAAGTTATGAAAAATTTAATACGTTAAGTGGTTTTTAAATCACCTTTGATAATATTCTTAATTTATTTATTTATTTTAGTAAATACAAGAAGCGTTTCCTTAGTAATAAACAATAATTGTTGATACGAGAGTTATTAAGAATGTAACTTATTAGTAAAGGCCCAGAACATGCCTGTATAAGAACAAAGTACCAGCTACAAAAAAATGCCATGTGTGCAGTGCTAAATCCCTCTAACAGTAAAAAATTACTTAAATTTATAAAAGATACTGACATTTATTCTGTACTAGCCAAAGTGTTAATTATCCATTGTATACTATTGTAAAAAACAGCATGTATAAGGTATTATACCTTCGATAATGATCCTTTGAGGTTGAAGTGGTAAATAAAAAAAAGAATTTAACCTACTTTATAAATTTATTTAATGTAATTTCTGTAAAAACATAAAAACCTAAATCTGTTTACATGAATGTAAAAATATAGAAAATATATTTCAAATGAGGTATCACCCTACTTTTCATTAGAAAATTTAAAGCTAGTAATTCCCTTTATCTCACGTGTCTCAAGTAAAGTGCATCTTGTTATAACAAAAATATAATATCTCTTGAGTTTTACCTGGTTTTTATTTTGTCATTATCTTTTTACATTTAGAAGTTAAAATAGAGGAGGGTACAAGTTTCGTCCTCACTCACTGTATATAATACATTCGTGTGTATTACACCTTTTCTTTGAAAGTTTTTCGAAAAAACGTTTAAAAATTTTCAACTTATCTTTAAAAGTAACCTCAGAAAAGCAGAATGGATTAAATATAAGAAATGATTGTATAAATTTTAAATAAATGAAATGAGAAATATTTTTTCTTATAAATCACTATTTATAAAATCCTAATAACACAAGTATCATTTGTTACCATTTAATATATCTAAAATAGGCGTGTTATAATTAACTTTTTGACTATCTTAAAATCTAATATGTTAAAATTTTAAGTTACGATAAGCAATTGAATATTTCAAATAAGCAAAGAGAAAATTGTTCGAGAGAGCCCGAGAGAGCTCGAGAGAAACGAGAAATTTTCGTCGAGAGATGATACTCTCTCGTCTAGAATCTGTTTTCGAGAGAAAATGTTTCTCTCGTCTCGTTCGAGACGAGACAAGACGAGACGAGACGAGACGAGAGACGAGAATCTCTCGTCTCGCAGCATCACTACCTTCTGGTGTAACGCGCCTGTAACTATCGTATTTTACACTCTTAGTCATCATTAGTTTCTTGCAACGATTTACACCAGAAAATAGCACTTAACGAGGCGTTTTAACCACCAATTTTGGCGAATTTTAAAAAAGCATTAAGAAGACATTAGGAAGACATTAAAAGCTTAAATTTGGGGATTATATTAACAATAGTGCTGTTGAGAAATGCAATTATTTTCATTATGCTATTTCAAAATTTAAAGCCCTTTGATTTTTTTCTCGGAAACGGAAAGGAATTAATGTTTTAGAATATATGCATATTTTAGATATTATTGGCTAATTTATTTTGCCAAACTTTTAATTTAAAAAAAAAATCACTTTTTAAGATATCCTTGCCCGAAAATTATAATTAACTTTTTGATTTTTATAAAATTAGAGATAATTAAAATTATCAAAACTAAGGCAATGATATCAAAATTATTCAAATTACAGACTTAAAAGTAACAAAGAAACTAATAGTATTTTGGAACCTATCATAAATATGGTTAACTATGCTCAATTTAATCAATTCTTTCTAATGCATCACTATATATTATTTCAGCATTAAAGTCGTAACGACTAGGTACCTATCCTACAAAATCAATACGTTAGCTTATTAGAATTTTTTTAAAAGAGTTGAGTCAAATCAAGGGCGTTTCTTAATCCATATTACATACTCTTATGGCTTGAAGAGGAGTCAAAATAAGATAACTCTTGATAATGAACCCATGTCTAGAAATTTACCCATTCCTTGGTAATAAAATAAAAGAAAAATTAGGGTATACTGATAGAATAGTTTTTATAACAATTGCTTAAAGTGTCGGCCAACAAATTCAATGCAAGCATTACATCTTCGGCCTATACCAAATATCTTGTAGCGTAGCTAGAATCGAACAATTAAGTCTTCCTCTGTATAAACTGAGGTCTAATACAAGTATTTTCCTGATACCCCACATATAAAAGTCTGGATCGTCAGGTTTTTATTTTTGGCATATAGTTTTCCATGGTTTTCCCGACAAATGTAAGATCAAATGTTATTATCTTAGAATTAGTGAATTTGCGGCCATGAGCTCATGAGCAAAATTTCTTTAATTTTGATTTTTTTACAAGCTCTAGAAGTACATATATAATCTATGTATTCAGAAACACCCTGTGAATTGCATAGAGTGTAATTTGTTAAAAGAGTAAGGTACCTATAATAGGCTTACATTTTAATATCGTCTGGTAGATCATTCAGAAACTTGAAGGAAGATGTATAATGCTTGGCATTCTATATTATACTCTTCACAGTTTAACAGACCCCCCCCCCTTAACCCTCATCTTCAATAAAATCTTTTTTTTTTTAGAATCAATACACTTCATCCCCTTTTCCTGAGGATTTCAATTTGATACCGTTTTTTATTTCTAAGTTAGTATTTTTTTCAATATTTCAACGCCCCAATTTTGATCCAGATTTTTTCAAAATCAATAGGTTTCAGACCCTAGCTTGATTTTTACTCAAAATTTCATGTTGATATCGTTTTTGGTGTCTGATTACTATTTTTTTATTTCAGCTTCCCTTAACCCCCCCATTTTGTTCACAATTTTTTTTAAATCAATTGTTTTTGTCCCCTTATAGAGCTTGATTTTTGCTAAACATTTTAAATTGATATTATTTTTCATTTTTGAGTTGTTTTTTTTTTTAATTTCAACCCCCTTTAAACCCCCATTTTTATTGGGAGTTTTTTCAAATTTGAAGAGATTTTTCTGCTTATAGAGCTTGATTCTTGCTAAAAATTTCAAGTTGATACTATTTTCCATTTTTGAGTTAGGATTTTCTTAAATATTTTAACTCTCCTTAACCCCTAATTTTATTCAGATTTTTTTCAGTATCAATAGGCTTCATCCCCTTATAAAGCTTGATTTTTGTCAAGATTTAAATTTGATATCGTTTTTGTTTCTGAGTTAGAATTTTTTCAATATTTCAACTCCCTTTATGCCTCCATTTTTACTTAGATTTTTCAGCATCGATAGGCTCCATTCCCTCGTAAAGCTTGATTTTTAATTAATATTTCATGTTAATGTCGCCTTTTATTTTTGATTTATGATTTTTAAATGTTAACCCCCTTAAATCCCATATTTCTAATAAGAGGACTTTTTCTGTTTATAGAGCATGTTTTTTACTAAAAATTTCAAGTAACTATCATTTTCCGTTACTGAGTTAGAATTTTTTTCAATATTTCAACCCCCTTGCCCCCCATTTTTAATCAGATTTTTTTTAGAAACAATAGCCTTCATTCCCTTATAAAGCTTGATTTTTTACTAAAAATGTCATGTTGATATCGTTTTTTGTTTGATTTCTATTTATTTTTTTTTATTTCAACTCCCTTATTGAGTTTGATTTTTACTTGAAATTTTAAGGTGATCTTTTTTCGTTTTTGAGCTAGGATTTTTTAATATTTCAACCCCCCTCAACTCCCCATTTTAATTTAGATTTTTTTAGAATCAATAGGCTTCATCTTCTTATAGAGCTTGATTTTTACTAAAAAGTTCAAGTTAATATCGCTTTTCGTTGTTGATTCAGGATTTTTTTAAATTTTAACCCCCCTTAAGCCCCACATTTTTAATTAGACTTTTTCGAAATCAAAGTAATCATATTAACAACAACATCCAAAACACATCTCGGAATAAATTAAACCAGTTTTATCATCACCATTCATTATTTAATATCTTCTAAATCTGCCATTAAAAATTTTTGAAATCATTTCAAACTTACCATCATTCTCTATATAATTTCACATCGTTACATTTTTCAAAAATATTCTTAGGTTGCATACATTTTTATTTAAAAAAAAACTTGTATTTGACAAACAATGGTGTAACACCCTATATCAAGGAATATGTTCAAAGCATGCGTATCTATAATACAAATTAAAAATCTAGGAAATAAACACTAAATGGACACCCAATATACACATATATTTTTAATTGCAGTCCAACATGAGTCAAACGAAATTACTGGTCCTGGCCACTGTCATCTATTTCTTCAAAAGATCCGACGGGTTAATTCAAAATGGTTCAGGAAAATTTGGAAACAAAAATTACCATGTGTCAGAAAGGGAAAAACAAATTACAAAAGTATCGTTAACGCAAGTTGGATATATTCAGGTAAGTACTTATAAAAATACAGGAAGTTTTGTTAGATAACTCTGCATTTTACGAAAAATGCTCTCAATATATGGGTATCCTATTATACAGGGTGTCCCGAAATTAGACGGTCATATTTTAACAGCATAATCTACATCCTAAAATAGGAGTAAAAGTTTATATAAACATAGGTCCGAAAACCATTCTTTTCCGAGATACAGGGTTTTAAAAGTGAAGTCCTGATGACACTCTTTTGTAAATATTTTCTAAACGTTTAAAGGTAACTAAGTGAAATTTGGTACAAATACTAAACTTTTCACGCTCTATTTAATGGACTAAACCCCAGTTTTTGATTATTTTCAAAGGTGGGTAAATTAGGGGGGCTTAGGGTAAAATTGCCCTAAGTTTTTTTGTTGACAGTTTTTAACATTTTTGACTATAAAATTTGGAAAACCAATGTTTTCTTTATAATAAAACTACTTCTGTTGCATCTCGCTAGGACGCGCCATTTTCAAGAAAAAAGCTTTGAAAATTTCATGATAAGTTATTCGAAAGTGTAAACAATAATTAGTAGGCCTGTGAAATCAGAAATTTTATTTTTTTTTACTTTGGAAAACCGGCGACTACAGAAATTTTAGAAAATATATACAAAAATGTGCCATCAGGACTTCACTGTATCTCGAAAACGAAACGTTTTCGGACCTATGTTTATATGAACTTTTATTCCTATTATAGGATGTAGATTACGCTGTTAAAATATGACCGTCTAATTTTTGGACGTCCGAATAATGTAAAATTAATAGAAAATTTGAAAATATTTAGAAGTAAAGTAGAGACGCTATTGATGATATTCTGTCAAAGAATATATTATTTGGATTTCACGTTTTCATTGTTTAATTTTATTTATAGTTTTAACTGTATTTCTGTATTTTTAATATTTAAATAATATTTTGCTGTTGACTTGTCCCATGTCATGTATTTTGATCTTATGAACAATAAAGTTATCACTATTAGTTATTATTATTAATATCTTGTTTATCTTTATAAAAAATTTGAATTAAACAATCAAATTTCTCGAAAACGTAAACACTTTAAACATAGTTATAATCGTAGGAGAACCAGTGAGACTTTTAGGTGTGTTATTTTCACAAGCAAAATTACAAACTCTTACCTTGTAGAACATTGAAACACTTTTCTGGAGTACCTAGAGTGATGGAGCGCTCAACAAAGACGTCTTAAAAAAGCCGTTGTAGAAAATGCTAATGTCATATAATGGATGTTTTTTAGAGGTATAGAACTTTAAAATGAATTAAACCAACAAAATAATGGTAATGGCCATGGTATTGGCATTATTGGAATTATATTTTTATGCTATTAGTGATTAAATATAATTTTGGGCACATAGTCGTCACGGCTGGCTCGAAAAAACTGCTTTCTGGAAGTCCAATTTTTAACCACTCTAACAAATTAAGTTGGCTTCCAAGTCGTCCATCTTTTCCGATTTGTCGGCAGTCTTCAGCATATCTCCACATATATTAATTTAAAGATGTTATATCATAGGACCTTGGAGCCCAATTTACATGCACATTATGCGAAATTATGTTCTTATCGAATGTTTCGTTCAATAACTTTATTGTGTGGTTCTCGCTGTGTGACATATTGTGCCATCTTGTTGAAACCACAGCTTTTCCACATTAATGCCATTCAATTGGGAAACGAAGAAGTTAGTGGAAATGGATCTATAGTAGCTTCCATTAACTGTAATTTTCTAGCTGGCTAAATTTTTTTTAAAAAATTGACCATTAATACCGCGCTTATTTGTGGATGTAACGGCGCGGCGCCTCAATAAGAACGTGGATTTTCTTCTTACCAAATTCTGCAATTTTACGACTTGTAGTAGCCATTTAACCAAAAAGTAAGTCTCATCGCTGAACAAAATTTTGGACGTAGCGCACTGTAAGTTAATCGAAATTAACCACGAATTTATAGAAAAATTTGCAAAATTTATAAATCATTGTTCTGGCGTTAGTGCATTCATGCTAAAATGGCAAACCAAAATGAGCACAAATCAGCTGTTAAATTGGCTGTCGCCGGTTATATTATAAGTAAAATGTATTAAAAGTAAATAAACAATTATCGTATTTTATCATTTTTGAATTTTTTCCAAAATAAAATAAAATAGCTTTTATCGGTAATTAAACCCGGGTCACGAAATCCAAAGTTGGGTGTTTAACGACTGAGCCATGTGGACGTATAGTCCATGGAATTGGTACTTTTTACCTTACATCAAATGAGGTAGTTCTGATTTTTTTATATGTTGGTAGTGATGAGATGGTATTGACAAATCCAAATTTCCTCGAAAGCCCTTCGGATTATTGTTAAATAGTAAAAAATCTTTAAATTTTAGGACTTTTTTCAGTTTTTGTCAATTTTTACCACTAAGGACCTCACGGAAAAAAATGTGACTACAATGTTGTAGTAGTAGACTTGTAGAAAAATACTTATCAATTTGTAGAAAATTTTACTACAATTTATAGTTTAAAACTATTCATTATTGTAGCAATTGAATTGTCGAATAAAATGCTACAACAATAGGAAAGAAGTCCACAATGTTTAGTATATTTTACTATTGTTTGTAGAAGTAGAAATTTATTACAATTATCGTAATTACTACTACTAACTTCTGTAAAAATTTGTACAAATATTAATAATTATCTCTACAAAAAATAGTAATTTTCTCTACAAAAAATAGTAATACTTTACATCCCTTCTTATAAAAAAATTCAATTTTGTTTAAAAATATTCTATAATATTGTAGAAATTCTAAGTCATGTGAACAAAACAGAATTCTGCTATTGGCCAACGTTTTCTGACGTCGATCATAAATGGCCAGACAGCAGTAGCCGTTCGCCATGTTCACATAACAAAGCATGGTACATATACGAGTACCTATAACACATTATTATATTATAAGCACCGATGCGTTTGAAAAAATTTTAATAATAAATTCTATTGGTGGTAAGTACTTTTATTATTGTTTCTGAATAATTTACCTTTAGATAACTAATTTAAATAAACTTAGTAGATTATTTAAAAAAAAAAATAGTTGTGGCCAACGATTGAATGTTGTGCCCAACGATCGAATTTTGTGCCAAGTTCAATGATGTTTTTTTGTCTTAATTGTGACATACCTACTTTCTCATTTTTGTTAGTTATCTGACTTAGTCATTTAATATCCAAATCAGTGTAAAGGTGATGAATATCCCCGTTTTAAGGGTATGAACAGTTCAATTGGTATTAATTTTTATATCATATTTTTCAGGTGCAGAAAAGCCAACTTAGACTGAGGGCGCTATTATTACTGTTATTTATTACATAAGACTTTGTATCTTTTATATTAAGACAATAAATTGAATAGTTTATTAAGGAACATTTTTTTCTAGGTTATAATTATAATAATTATGGAATACTACTACAAATTTTATTAAAAATTACTACAATTTGTATGAATTTTTACTATTTATTGTGTAAAATTTTTGTATTTATTTTCATAAAACGCAATACATTTTTAATATAAATTCATACAATGAATAGCAAAAATTAAAACAATTTGTAGAACAATTCTTCTGATGCATTTGGATATTTTTACTAAATATTGTAGATAATAACTCTACAATACATTCTCCACAAATATTTGGAAATTTTTACTACAAATTGTCCCTGTCCCTATATGTACTATTTATTGTAGAGGAAAAATCTATAATTGTAGAAATTTGTTCTACATTTTTTTTTTCGTGTGTACACACTTTTTAGGTAAACTAAATTTGCAATGAAATGAGAAAATTTTGGTTTTGGTAGGCCAAGTAGTTTGTAAGATACGGGTATTTAAAAATTGCAAAATTTAAATAAAAAAGGAAGTATAACTTTTTGTTTAGTTTTTGATAATTTTTATCCCTAAGGAGTGGGTTTATGGGAAAAGTTACTTTTTTTAGTTATTAAAGTCCACTAAATTCCCAACAAAATGAGACCAATTATGTCAACTTATACCTGATAATTCCTGATACACAACAATTCAAAGTTGTTGAGGTAAATAAACAATTATGTACTGAAAGGGTTTGTAAAATGTTAGTGAAATAAGCATTATAATTTATTAAAATAAACATTTTAGTAATTAAAAGATTAATATAAAAAATGTAATGAAACGCCTAAATGTATTTTATGTACAGCACAGTTATTGAAATAGTTATTACTCGCATTTTTTGTATATTTTTGATGGACCAGGCTCGTCCTCTGAATCCACAGCACCCCTTTTGGGGGCAGCTTGCTGAGGTAGAATTTCTTCATCGAACTGCTTAGGAAGGTCGAAATCGTCATTTGATGGTGTATCAACAATGTCACACATCAGATTCTGGTATGTTATCGCAAGATTGACCATTGCAGTAGCTGCAAACAGCCGAGAATTTCAGTCCTGCTTTCCTGCAACCACAACTGTTAATACAACCTTTTTTGTAGTTACAGAAAATCATATTTAGCAAAGCTTGAGGAGCTGGTGGTGCCATTAACTGTTGAGAAACAAGGCCTTGTGTACTCCGCATCCAGCACCAATCTTGAGGATTCTTTTCATTTCCCAGCCAGTTCTGTACCTGAAACAAAATCAACAACAAAATAAGGTACAGGTATGAAGAATGTGGTCTGAAGCAGAAAGAAATACAAGCAAAAAACTTATTTTCACCTGGTGGTATGTTCGCAGAGAGTTAACCAGCATCCATGGTTAAGGGCAATCTGGCGATGTTCATGTTGGGCTCAACTGCCGCTCTAGTGAACAACTGGAAGCAAAGATAGTTAAGATTATGCGATTTTCTGTTGCCTCCATAAAGTGAAACGAGGAAGGTCTCTCTTGCGTCGGCAACTTGTTCCGGTGTGGCATTGGAACCTAAGAAAAACTCTGCGTTTTGTTCGAGGTGTGGCTATTTTTTTATTGTCGATAGAAATTTCATTTTTTCTTGGCCAAAAGGTGCAGATGTTGTATCACAACCGCTAAACGCGTGAAGAAACGGTGCTATTCCGGGTTGTGATAATTGCGTAAAAGAATTTGTCGAGTAGGTGACATCTGGGTTTTTTCCTCTTCCATATTTTAAAAATATAATATTGTTATTTGGTCTGTTTGTTGGAAGAATGTGGTCTCCTCCATCTCGTGACAAACCACAAATTGAGACCAACAAATCTATATCCTCACTGACGATCTACACCACTTCGTAAGAAGAGAATATGGAAATGGCTGTGGTTATTATTAACCTATCAGCATCTTCCTCTACCTGTAATGTTAGAATTTTGTTCTTCTCCAGGTGAACCTTCAGCATGTCAATGAGACCAACTTTATTCCTGCCATTCAATAGGAACTTGTCCTGAGCAACTAAAGCAATGCTTGTTTCATCGAATATAACATCAGGAGAAGAAGTTGCTAGAGCTCTACGCAAACGTTCAGAGCTCTTGGTATTTTTGTCTGATGCGTCAGACGGATAGCCATTGAAAACTACAGTTATATTTAAGCTGTAGTAATTTTGTAAGTATTGGACATATCTGGAACCAATTTCTCCAAAAGACGCATTACGAGGCCACACTACTTTGTGGAGCAGATTCCCACCGTCTACAAGTACGTGCGTATCATTCCTCTGTTGATTCTCATTCAGACTCATAGGATTAAAGGCTGTGTAGAATGATCACTTTGTACCCTTCCTAAATCCATCTTCATTAAATAATAACATGGAAAATGGTGACAATTCATGTGTGAGAAAGTCATTCAACTCTTGTTGGTCTTTTTCAAAATGCCTAATATATCTGGCCTACCAAAACTAAACTACAAAATTTTTTACTTACTTTAACAACTTTTGAACAGCTATGTCTCAGGAACTATCAAGTGTAAGTTGACATAATTGGTCTCATTTTGTTGGAAATTTAATGGACTTTAATAACTAAAAAAAGTAACTTTTCCAATAAACCCACTACTTAGAGGTAAAAAATTGTCAAAAACTAAAAAAAAACTTCCTTTTTTTGCAAATTTAGTCTACTTAAAAAGTGTCCATTTTAACTTTTGCCGTAACGTAGGTCCTTGGTGGTAAAATTTGACAAAAACGAAATAAACTCCTAAATTTTAATGAATTTTCAAATATTTAACTGTGATCCGAAGGGCCTACGAGGTGAAAAATTTGGATTTGTCATTACCCATTTCATCACTACCAACTCATAAAAAATCAGAACTACCTCATTTGATGTAAGACAACACTACTTTTTCGGAACGATTTCCATGTACTAGTATATTAATTATAGTATATTAATTAACTATTCAAATATGTGATATTAGCATTTTCTACAACGGTTTTTTAAGAAACTGTCATCGAGCGCTCTACAAGGCAAGAATGAACAATAAATTTGTAAATTATCCTTGCGCAAATGTGTACCAAAAAAGTGTCACTGGCTCCCTTACCATTGAAGTCAATTAATTACGTAATTTCCGTTTTAGTTCTTGAAATACATAAATGAAGTTCCTCCGATGACAGAATACACTTTTTGCATCTGGTTAAGAAGTAGCAATTTAACACACAACCATCCCATCTTATCGTATTCAAGTAAGTAGATTAACATTAACATTCTCATTTCATTCCAAACGGGATATATTTCATTCTTAATTACCGAGTTAGACCATTCTCACGTTATTTATGAGATATATGATATGATATAACTGTTTCTATTCCTATACTGTTTTTGTGAATTCATCTGTTTCAGCGTTTTAGCTGTAGACGAATTCATGGAACCAGGTCAGTCGGTCTATAAGAAATTGAGTCGTGGGATTTTCTTGATTAGCTGTAATTAATGAGTTATTTTGGCATAAATTACTTACTTTATATTACATTGAACAAAACATTTGTGAGATAAGCATTCAAATTTATGTGTCTCAATATTACTGAGGCTCCTTACCTATGGGGCCTATAGTATTGTATTTGCGCTCACAAAAAAATAATTTTTCTCCACTTTTTTTTACATTTCTGTGTAAGAATATCCAAGAAAACAAATGTTTAAAGTCCAAAAACAACGAGTTTTAATAATTAAAATACAGAGCAACGCAGATATGCTAATTCTATCAATTACCAAGATTGATTATCTTCATTCCAATACCTAATTTCGCCAACATAGCAATATTAAAAGTTTATATAGAGGCAACATCACTCAAAGCGTATCATGGTAATATAAACAATCGAAACCAAATATATTTTTAAAACAGTGTCTTAAATCTGATTATTCTAAATCCAAAAATGCAAAATAAATGTGGATATTATGCGAATTACATACAGAATCGTGAAGCATCGATGGTTTTTGGACGAATTTTAACTCCAAAATGAATTTCCTATGTAAATTTGGTATTAGGAGTAAAACGATAAGGTTTCAAATATTAATTATACTTGGAAAGGCTTGAGGGGTAAAGATGCTAAATATATGTATACAGGCGCGCTTAAAGAGTAAAGGGCCAAATATTTTTGCACAGGTAGAAGTATAGGGTAATGGATAGATTTAGGTGTTATTTGAAGTATCCAAAACATTTTTTATGGGTAAGAATTAAAGGTAAAGGGTCCAAATATTTTTACATGGACAGGTTTATGGGGTTGATATGAAAACTAATGGAAAAACTAGGCTTTATTAAACTAGAAATGCGCTTGGCATTAACATGACAATGAACATAACTTGTATGTATAAATAATAAAAATTTAGGTAGTCTGAGTGGACATCTCTGATTTACTGATGGCAATTCCAGTAGCTATTTCTAGGTAGCTAGGTAACGATTAGATACGGTTTGATAGTATTATCTTGAATTTGGACCCAATTGTTTTATAGATTTTTCGGAAAATTTTATTTTGTTTCATTTAAAGTGAGTTGCTATTTGTCGACAACTTTAAGAAATGTTCCCAAATTCTTATCATGTTCTTGGGTTTTACCGCAAATTGTAATGTCATCCAGGTACGCATAAGTACCTTGTAAATTTTAATTTCTAATGATAGTGTTAATGACGCGTTGGAAACTAGCTACGCCATTCGTAACACCAAATGGTGTTCGGCAAAATTGATACAAATTTCCACAAGCCTCGAATGCAGTATAACGTCATTTATGTTCAGGAACAGGAATTTGATGATAAGCGCTCTGCAAGTCAATAGTATTAAATACTTTATATTTTGATACTTCAGACATAATTACTTCAATATTTGAAATAGGATACGCATCTAGTTCTGTGAAGCGATTTATTGTTTGGGCACATTTTATTACCATTTATTACTAGCAAGGAGTTTCCGTATTTCTGAGTCTCTAAACTGTTTGTCTTCATCAGAAAACCTTCTAGATTTAATGGAGATAGGTTTACAATCATGTGATAAATTTAAGAAAAGAGATGCTTCAGGAACTGCTGCTTTCAAAAGATTACATATTTTTAAAGGAGTTTGAAGTCCAGGAAATGACATTTGCACAGATAAATGTTGTTTTAGAAAATCATGACCCAGAATTATATCGGTACAAATATTTTTCATTACAGTTTTACATTCTCATATGTATAATCACTATTTTCTAGTTCTAATGTTACAAAACAACTTTCTTCCCCTTGACAAAAATGATTCAGAGAAGCCATATTTATGTTCTCTTTGACTGTGACTTTTGTTAGTGTATATCGATTAGCAAGCGAGGAATTAATAAAACTTGAAGTACTCCCAGTATCTATTAGTCCTTTCGTTGGCATTCCATTCACTTTGATAAAAATAATAGCTTGATTTAGATCTTTTGTAGAAACGTAGTTAACCAGAGATATTGTAGCAAGGGTTTTATTAGTTGTTGTGACTATTTTTGTTGATCGGCTTTTACATAATTTTGCATAATGTCCTCGTTTAAGACATGCTCGACAAATAGAATTTGATGCTGGACACTAATCTCTTTGATGGTATGGTTCTCCACCAAAAGCATTCTTGATTACCATACCGTAATATAGAAGATACGGCTGCTACCAGTTCTACATTACTTCTCGCAGTGTTGTTAGCAGAATCAATAATTTCCTCAACTAGAGCATTAACTGAAGGATTGAAAGTTGGAAAAGTCTCTGAGTTTAGAACGGCTATTTCTATTGCGCGTGCTTGACTAAATATAGAATCCAAATTCAAAGATGTATTTTCTAAAAGACGTCTTATAGCAGTCGAAGAGAGACCTGCGATGAAGGCGTCCCTTAAACAATCGTTTTTATTTTGCTCAGCAGATACAGCTTTAGAGTCGCAATCTTTTGCAAGTTTTCTAACGCCAGTATATATTGGTCCACAGATTCTCCGACTAATTATTTCCGCATGGGTAGGCAGTGTCTTGCATAAATAATGTTGCTTGATTATAAGTCTTGCATTCGCTTATCAATCTGTATACATTAAAAGAAATATGTTTAATGAAAACCCGAAGTTTTGTAGCTTCATTTAATTTGTCTGTACTCAAAAAGTGAAAATTTTCAAAAGTCTGTTTCCAGTGGGTCCATTTATGTTGAGCTAATTTTGAGTCTGAGTCTATTTCGAAATGACCTTGTCGTAGGAACTTCTCCATATTTCAATTTCTAGTTTAATAAATTGGTATGAAAACCAATGGAAAAACTAGGCTTAATTAAACATGACAATGAACATAACTTTGACAAATATAAACAGGATGTATAAATAATAACAATTTAGGTAGTCTGAGTGAACACCTCTGTTCCACAAGGAGTTAGGTAACGATTAGATACAGTTACTTCTTTTCCATCTGGGGTAAATAGGGAAATTATACCTTAGCTGTAGCTACAGAAGTTGGGATAGTTATCAGAATACGTAACATAACTTCTGTTTCGTTTACAATTTTGTAGTTTCGAGTTTTATTAGTCAAAGATTCTTAGAATTATTTACATTAATTATATTGGTCTTACCCCTGCTAAAGTTGACGGAAATCTCTTCACGGAAATTTGATTTTTGCAACCGATTAAACTAATCTTCAAAATACTTTTTCCAATCTGCACAAATTACTTCTAACATAAGTAATTTAAATGCTTTAACGTGTGTCTGAATGAAAAGTAGGCATTAGGAGATAAATCAGGCGAATATGGGCAATGAGTCATTAATTGGATGTTGTTACTTGTCAAAACTCAGCAGTTCATTGTGCTGTGTGAGCGCTTGCATCTTTACGTTGTTTTTTCTAATTTCAGCGATAACTTTCGGCAAACAAATTGAAGTATACCAGTCAGCATTAACGGTCCATCTATCTTCAAATCTAATGGAACAGTTTCAATAGCCCGTTTTTTTCGAAGAAACGAGTAATCATTATTTTAGGAACGTTTCGTGCAGTCATCACTTCTGTTGGTTAATGTTAATATCAGTTATTTATTAGTAAAATGGCATCCCAGGCTTCTTTATTTCGGTAACGAATGTTATTTGTGGTTAAGGTTAATTACCCAGTCTATTGCCAATCACATCCAAGGGCGGATTTAGCTTTTTTTTTATAGGAAGGGTAAAATTTACCAAGACGACATGTTTAAAATAAAATTTTAATAATACTAAATTATAATCATAGAGAGACTGGTAAAGTACCTAAAACTAAAAATGGTTAAAACAAAAAACACTTTTTGACTTTAGGAAAATTTCTGTCTGTCAGAATTGAGATATTATTTCCTCCCCTTACCTGTGAAATGTTTTCACAGCCTACTGAAAATGTGATTTACTTAAAAAGACAACTTGAAATTAAAACGCAAATTCTGACTAAATGGTTAAATTTTTGACATTTGTTAAGAGTCCCTTTTTAATGTAAAAATAATTGAAAAGTTTGAATTTTGTCTTTTAAAAAATTTGAAAATAGAAAAAAGGGGAATTCTTATTTTCAAAATATTTTATGTCTTTGATTCATTAAATAAGAGGGGTTAATTATTTCCACTTCTTTCTCTATTTTCTAATTTTTTAAACGACAAAATTCAAATGAAGATTTTTCAGTGATTTTTATATTAAAAAGGGGCTCTTAACAAATGTCGGAAAAATTAATATTTAGTCAGAATTTGCGTCTTAATTTAAAGTTGCCTTTTTTTAGTAAATCACATTCTCAGAAAACTGTGGAAACATTTCACAGGGAAGGGGAGGAAATAATTAACATCTCAACCCTTATTTAACCCTTTTGGAAAGTGGACTTGTAATTTAATGCTCTTAATAACACCTCAAAATTTGGTTTAAATTGGTTGGTAAGTTTTTAAGATATCGTTAAAAAAGTTTAACCCCCGCTTCGATGAGGTGTACAACTATTATTTTGCGTTTTCAGACACCCGTTTATTGGCAGTAAAGAGTTAGTCAGGTATTTATTACGCATTTATAAAATGAGTTTTTATTTTTACAGAACAGGAAGAAGAAAGAATAATCAGAGTATGGATAGGAGGACAGGGCAAAAATATAAATTTAGAAATACTCGGCAACCCTATATTTGAGTTTCCACTAAATATTGTTGAAAATCGATGGTACCATATTTGTCAGTCGTGGTCATCCCATCAAGGTATTTGGATGCTATATTTGAATGGAAAAGTTAAATCAAGCGGAGCATATCCAAAAGTAAGTTTTTATAATAGAAGACCGACAAATTCAATTAAAAATATAAACAATTAATAAAGGACTTCGCACAAATCTTATGGAAAATGGCTTATCGTGAGATTTATTTGAAATTCAGATATGGTATAAATCGATCTGCTGATCAAAAGTTACCATTGCCGCAACTCTCTAGCACCAACTGTTTGGATAGTATAGTGTGTTGAATGTTAATTTCTTGATTTAAGCTCTCGCATTTGTCTAACTTAAGAAAAATCACATTTTTGTTCATCTGTATCTGTAACGTGTAGAGGGTGGGTTAACCCCACGGTACTTAGGCCTCATTATGCCCATTGTGCATCCTTCTAAGATGATAGGCACCTCCTAGCTCGTGAGCCAGCCTACAGATTTAATGTAGTTGACAACGTCGCCAAGAGATGCTTCTCTTATATCGGCAGGTATTAGCCGATACTCGCTGAACACAAATCTTCTAATAAATGAGAGCGTCGAGCAATCGTAAAGGATATGCCCGATGGTCTTCTTGTTCGAACCCTGTGTAGAGTGCGGGTTCTGACAGCCCCATGATATGGAGATGCTTCCGTACTTGGCAATGACCAGTCAGAATGCCTGTGACTAGGCGCAGATTCTGTCTAGTCATAGTGAAGTATTTGTTTGCTGCAGTGTTGTCAGGATAACTTGAGAGCTCCCTGGCAACTCTGCAGTTTTTTGTTTCATCCCATCTTTCCTTGAATTTCAAAAGGAAATGTTCTTCAATTAGGTTTGTCACTACCGGTTTTGTCAGGCCAATAGAAGGGCCAGGTCCAAAAAGTATTTGGTTGGGCTGCTTTCTTGGCTAGTTAATCAGCAAGACGGGTTACCTTTCAAAGTGGCATGACCTTTGATCCATCTTAAGGTGACCACATTGTTGGATGGATAGTTCGGCCAAAGCTTCGTGATATTCTAGTACTAATCCTGAATAAATTCGTGGTCTGTTCAGGGTAAGTAGTGCTTGTCTGCTATCTGTATAAATAAGCATGTTCCTTCCAGTGATATTGTTCCTGGTTATTTCTTTTGCTGCTATGAGAATCCCCGTTAGCTCTGTTTGAACTACACTGGCATTATTGCTCACAGCCCATTTTATGTTTAGGTTTAAAAATCTGGAGTATATTCCACATCCTGAGCCTTGTTTTATTTTAGAACTGTCGGTGTCACATACTTTGATTACTATACGAGGCAAGAGAGAGGTCCGACACGCCCAACATAGGGCGCGGCCATTTTGAACCCTGTGACACAGTTTACAGCTAAAGAATCAGATCGCTCACTCTGCGTCGGCACTTTTGATCTCAATGTTTCAGTTTATACACTGTGCAACTCGGATAATACAATATATGACAACCGCCTATAATAAAACAGCAGTCTTCTGCGTATCCTGAATTTGTATCCCTGGAGTGGATGTTATTTTGGATTTTTCAACTGGTCCGAGTGAGCTAACTGATTCTTTAGCAATAAACTGTGACTTCAAAAATAATATTCACTGACACTGATAGCAGCAAGCAAAATATTCAGGTGCGTTTTAATCATCCGCTTCTGCTTTCAGAATTGTCGGTTTAGTCGTTTTAACCTGTCAGATTAAAACAAGAAAACCGACAATTCCGAAGCAGAAGCGGATGATTAAAACGCACCTATTAAAAATATTGCGCCAAGATGTAATAAAATTCAAATCTAGCATTATTGAAAAATATGAGCTGAAAAATTAAACAAATGCAGAGCATCCTGTATACTGGCACTTAACATAATATTTTGCATGTAGGCGAAATGAAAACGTAACTACTTGTGAAAAAATAACTAAAGTAGTTTTTAAAATGAATACATGACCAACCTGTATCAAGAATCAAAGGGCCTTAATAAGTTTTTCCACGGAATATGAAAAAGGATGGCTTTGTGTGGAACATATGAAAAAATAAAAAAATCCAACGACGGGTTTTGTGGAAATACATTTTAAATAAAAATATGATTTTTCTTAAGTTGAAAAAATGTTAATTTAACACCCTGTATGCCAGTAAAAGACAGTTTTGTAACAATAAATATCACATATTCAAGGGAATGTTATTGATAATAGCAAAAGACCTTTATTTCTTGAACTGGACACAATACGAAAGAACTTAAATGGGTCCAGTATCAAAAAGTTCATATTCAACACCCTGTACTATCCAAACAGTTGGTGATAAGGAACTGCGGAAATGGTAACTTTTATCAGTAGATCAATGTGTACAGGGTTTGTATATTCGACCGACAACGCTCTAGCCTAGAGAGCTCTCGTTAATTGATTGATAATATATCTTAATTTCAAAAGACTCTCACGATAACCCATTTCACATAAGATTTGTGCGGGGTCCTTTAAACGGCAGTTGTTATGAACTTCAACATTGACTATGATAATAATTTAATGAGAAATAGAACCCACAATAGATAATAAAGAAGTGAGTTCAACATTGAATAAAATAAAATTGAAACGATTCTTCTATCCGTTCTCATCGATTGGTTTGTGGATTAAAAAGGAAGCCAATACAATGCATGTAAGGCCGTGAGAAACAAATTCGTTGTTATTGGTATAAACATTTCGTAATATATCTGCGTGAATGCATGTATTAGTGTTATTTCTCCTTTATTAGCTATATAACAACACTGAATTCGGTTTGTCATAGATATGTAATGCATTTTCTAGTTATTGCTACCAGACATGAAATATGCATGAAGCATGCCTTTTTTTATTATCAAATTCCCAGAGCGCGCTTTCGTAGACCATAGATATTATTATAATATCATAAAATGGAAAATTTTATAAAATAACCTAATTCTGTAGAATTGTAGGTATAAAAGAGAAATAGAAAATAAGAATAAACGAAAATTAAACTAAATGGCTACATCCAAAATACAAAATACAAGTAAACCAGAAACCAAGAACAGTAAAACTACTTTTAGAACAGGTGTCAAAAGTGTAAAATAATTATTCTAACAAATAAAAATACTACACCTTTATAATTCAATACTCAAATTATTAAATGAGAAAAATAAAATATTTAAACAACTGCAGAGATAGCCAAATAACATTGAGTTTAAAAACTTGTATACAAATCATAGAAATAAATTAACAAATACAATTATTCAAAAAGCAGAGTATGATTTTTTTATTAATTAATTTAAATAAAGGCCAATATAGCGAGTTGTGGCGTATAGTACAAAACTTGAGTCGACAAAACAAAAAAATACAAAAAAAATTGAAGCTATTAAAAACGAAAAAGGAGACACTTTATCTTACGATAAAGCAAAGAGTTCAATCAGCAATTTGTTAAAGTGGGTATTAATCTAGCCGAGAAGATTAAAAAAGATAGTTCGTTATCATTCCCTAAAACTACACTTTAAAATTGAATGATTATTCTTGAAACCAATGTGTTTGAAGTTGTTACATTAATAAACGATTTGAAAAACAAAAAAAGCAACTGGAATTGACGAAATATGTGCGGAAATGTTAAAATCAGCGGTATCATCAATTGCAAATCCATTAACATATTATATACTAAATCAATGCATAAAGAAATCTGTATTCACGCTGCGTTCAAACTTTCAATAGTGACACCTATTTTTAAAAAAGATGACAAAGACATTTTCAGTAATTACCGTCCAATTTTATTACTTACCAATTTATCAAGCATTTTTAAAAAAATTATGAAAAACAGACTTAATATTTTTTTTAATAAGTACAATATAATATATCCCAAACAGTATGGTTTTATAGAACAAACATCTACGGAGGATGCTATATTAACATTAGTTTCCTCTAGAAAGAAACATACTAAGTCTATGCATATTTCTTGACTTTAGTAAAGCTTTCGATACAGTCGATCATTGTTTACTACTAAAGTGTTTAATAAATATAGGTGTTAGGGGAAGCCCTACTTAAAAGTTACCTAAATAATAGATACCAAAGTGTAAAAGTAAATGGTGAGACTAGTGGACCTGAGCTAATTAAGTATGGAGTACCTCAAGGTAGTGTCTTAGGTCCAATTCTGAAATTTGCAGACGATACTGCAATTTTTTATGAGGCAAATAATTGGCATAAACTGAAGTATATTGCAGAAAACAAATTTCTGAATGTGAATGGATGGCTAGATGACACGTCACTTACTATAGATATGGATAAAACGAAATATATGCCATTTACTTGTAATGTTAGTTGTCTATATAACCAACTAAACATAGCGACATGTGGCTACCATTACGCACTTGAATCTGTTGCTCAAATAAAATACCGTGGTGTTTATACAGATAATTACCAAAAATGGAAATATTACATAAATTATAATAGTAAAAACGTACATGGCATTTTATACAAATTTAAATACTTAAAACGATATATCCCTATACAAAATCTAATAACACTATATTACACCTTTGTAGAAAGTCATTTAATTGTTATTTGGGAAAGCACTAAAAACAATACAAAAATGTAATGATGCCGCGAGACAAGACGAGACGAGAGAGTGGCCTCTCGCGTCGTCTCGTAGGACGAGAGAAAACGGTTCTCTCGTCTCGATGGGAAGGCGCCTTTCTCTCGTCTTGTCTGGTCTCATCTCGTTTCTCTCGTGATAAAACAATATCAAATTTAAATTTGAAAAAGACGAAACATGAAAAAAACGGTGAAATAAGACAAAAACAAAGAATTTTTCAAGTAATTTGCGCATTAGTACCCAAATTTGGTAATAAACACTTATGTCTCTCTGTCTGTCCGTCTGTCACAGTCGTTTTACAATTGAAATTTGAGGTAATAAGTGGCCCAGTTTAGGCGTTAACTAAAAACGAAAATACTTTGTCTTGTAAGTCGGTTGGGGAGGGGGGGGAAGAGGTTAAATTGGAAGTTAGAATTTTTCTAATGTAATCCTGCGATGTTAAATGAAAGCATTTTGTAGTATGTTTTCAAAATGCAAAAAGATAGAGACATAAAACAAAAACGATGTGAAATTAGAGTA